CAGGCAAACGTAGACCAACGCCAGGATGATGATGAGCAATGGGGTGCATCATGGTATGGGCATGATGATGAGCAATGGGGTGCATCATGGTATGGGCAATACTTGGTAGCGTAGCATCTCTGCTGCTCTCGCATTATGACATCACCCTTTGTTTGCACGTACACGTCGTACTGTCACATCCTGCTTTATTCATCACAAACACTATATTCACCTGACTCTCATGCATACGATATTACCTACGTCACCGAAGTGTTTCCCCAACCAGCTATGGCGATGTGTAGTAAAGTTATTTGTATATGGTGTAGTTCCAATACACATTACAACACCCGTTGATGTTAGCTACAGTACTGTCGGGCGCCGAAGAGCGGGCGGGTTGGGGGGAGGGTCCATTCTTATTTTTCGCGAACACAGCCGTTTCGTTCTTATTCGATGAAGATCGATGTACGTACGAAAGTACAGTGCTGGCAACTGAATCCGACCCCCTGGGCGGCGCGGCGCGCCGACGTCAGCTATCCGATCATTGGTGCTGATTTCCTCGTCCACTTCAACCCCACCGTTTACATGTGATTGTGTACAGGCTCTCCTTCAATGGTAATGCCGGTGGCAATACAATGTATACAGTTTGCTTCACCCTACTGGACATACTCTTCTAAGATATCCAACACTGTTATGTTTGTATGTGCGCGTAAGCACGCTAGGCTCTGCGCATGTTTGCTTGCACGCTATGCTCTGCGCATGTTATGTTTGTATGTGCGCGTAAGCACGCTAGGCTCTGCGCATGTTTGCTTGCACGCTATGCTCTGCGCATGCGCACTCCAGTTCAGACTTTCTGTGTCTGAGTTTGTTCTTCTTTCTATCTTGTTACTTTGCACGTCCATTATTCTCTTTGTAAATAATCCTAATACATTCCACAACTGTGTGTTCTTGTGAGTGGGAATGTAACATTGGCGACGAAGATGGAAGACGACAAGCGTCTTCAGAGTTTTGATACGTCAGGCCCAGCTTCCCAGGTGTCCATCCGTTGGCGGAAGTGGGTGAAGTCTTTTGAGTATTATTTAGTGGGCAAGGACATTTCGAACAAGAAGCGCTCAAGAGCATTGCTGTTGCACTTTGCGGGACCACAGGTTCAAGATATTATTGATGACCTACTTGACCCTGACGATGCTCTGCCAGAGGAGCAGAGGACCCCGAATGATAACGAGTACCTGAAATGTAAGCGAATTTTGGACGCGCATTTCGCAGCCCCAGCAAACCCTACCTACGAAAGGCATGTGTTTCGCCAGCTGGTTCCGCAAGCAGAAGAGAGTACGGCGCATTTCTGCAGCCGTTTGCGGCAGCAGGCTAGATTATGTTCCTTTGAGAACACTCGCCAGACCAATGAGGCAGTCCGAGACCAAATCGTAGCAACGGTGAGGAATGTTGACTTGAAGAAAAAATTATTGTCTGAGCCGTCGTTGTCAGTCGATCGAGCATTGGAGCTCTGTCGCGTCTGGGAGGATGCACAGTCACAGTCTCAGATGATGACTAGTCGTGCTGTTTCTGCTGGAGCTGGAGCATCGGAGTCCGCGAGTGATCATGCTGTCAGTGCAGTTACGTCCAGGAGAGGCCAGCACCAGGGCAAGGCCAGGGGCCAAGGCAGACACCACCCAGCTGCTGGTACACGTGTCAGTTGTTACAGCTGCGGTCGCAAGGGACACAAATCCGGAGATGCTTCATGTCCAGCTAAGGGACAGGCATGCAGGAAGTGTGGCAAGACAGGTCATTTCGCTAAGTGCTGCAAGTCAGGATCAGCGTCGCAGACTGCCGCCCATCATGTGCGCGAAGTCACGGACTACGAGGTGTCTGATAGTTTTCGTGTTGGCCAAGTGTCAGCTGGGAAGCCAACATCGAACATGCTAATCACCACAGTGCAGATCAACGGTACTCCATTGGATTTGGAGGTGGACACCGGATCCATGTACACTTTGGTGCCGCAAGACGTATGGGAGCAACATTGGACACATGTTGCCTTGCGTGAATGTTCTGTGCGACTGAAGACCTACAATGGTTCAGTCCTGCCGATTGTTGGCGAAGCAGATGTTGATGTACGCTACAGCGCGCAGAATGTTCGTGCGCGGGTCATCGTAGTACGTGAAGGCAGCCATCCGCTGCTGGGACGCGACTGGCTATCACAGTTGAGACTTGACTGGCAGAGTATGTTCAACCGGGTGAACGCCACTGCAGCGAGTGAGCCAGCAGCAGAGGATGCGTACCCTGAAGTATTTCGTGATGGTCTGGGCAAAGTGAGTGATCGTGAAGCTGAGATCTACCTGAACGACGGTGCCACTCCCAAGTGCTGCAACCCCAGACCCGTGCCATTTGCTTTGCGTCCTGCTGTCAATAAGGAACTTGACAGGCTGGAGCAAGAAGGCATTATCAAGCCCGTCAAGTCAGCAGAGTGGGCCTCACCTATTGTGATTGTCAGGAAGCAGAATCGGGACATTCGCATGTGCGCGGACTTCAAGGTCACGATCAACCCGCACATCAATTCCAAGCTTCACCCGATTCCAAATCCGAACGACCTGTTGTCGCAGATAGCTGGAGGATCAGTGTTTACGAAGCTGGATCTTAGCCAAGCTTATGCGCAACTACCGCTGTCGGAACGCAGTCAGAAGTATTGCGTCATCACAACACATCGAGGTCTCTACGCATTCCAGCGCCTTCCGTTTGGCGTGTCCAGTGCCCCAGCAATTTGGCAGAAGACAATGGATGAGATTCTGCACGACATTCCTGGTGTCGTCTGCTTCTATGATGATATTCTCATCACTGGGTGCGATGTCGAAGAGCACGACCGGCGACTCAAGTTGGTGCTAGCGCGGCTAGCAGAGCGTGGTGTGCGTCTTCGCAAGCAGAAGTGTGCTATCCGTGTGGATCGTGTACGCTACTTGGGCTACAGCATCAGCCGGAACGGTCTCGAGCCCAATCAGGACAAGGTCGAGGCTATCCTGAAGGCGTCAGCACCGAAGAATGTTCAAGCGTTGCAGTCATTCCTAGGCTGTGTCAACTTCTACAACCGCTTTCTACCCGACATGTCCAGTGTTCTGAAGCCGCTCAACAACTTGCTCCGCAAAGGTGTTCCGTGGAACTGGACAGATGAGTGTGAGAAGGTGTTCGATCAGGTAAAGCGTATGCTCACCAGTGCCCCAGTGCTAGCTCATTTTGATGTGAATGAGAAAGTGGTCGTTGAGTGCGATGCTTCGCCTTACGGCATTGGCGCGTGTCTCATGCATGAGTATGCTGATGGCAGCCGTAGGCCTGTATGCTATGTTTCCCGTTCGCTTGCTAAGGCAGAGGCTCACTATTCGCAGATAGAGCGTGAAGCTTTAGCCATTGTGTTTGCAGTTAAGCGTTTACACATTTATTTGTTTGGTCGCTCTTTTGTTCTATGCTCTGATCATAAGCCATTGCTGCACATTTTTGGTGAGAAGTATGGTTTATCTGCCACTGCTGTTTCCCGTTTACAGCGTTGGGCTGTCATTCTTAGCGAGTATGATTATGTGTTTGAGCACATTTCTGGTAGTAGCAATGCTGTCGCAGATTGCTTGTCACGCCTGCCTATGGAGCTGACAGCCGCACAAGAGAGTGCAATTGTCAGTGCTGTCAACGAGCATGCCCATGATCCTACTGAGGATTTGCCAATTGATGCTAGTGATGTTGCAGATGCTAGCAAGCAGGACAGTGAGATTGCTCCAGTACTGCAGTACCTACAGTTCGGATGGCCAGCTGAGATCAGCGAGGCTACGCGACCATACTACAAGATTCGTCATGAGCTGACCATAGAGTCGGGCTGTGTAGTTCGTGGTGGCCGTACCGTTATCCCAGTAGTGTTTCGCCGTTTGCTGCTAAATGAGATGCATTCTGTCCATATTGGCATTGTCAGAATGAAGGCAGTAGCACGCAGCTTTGTTTGGTGGCCTGGCCTTGATCGCGATATTGAGCTTCTAGTGTCATCATGCAGTCACTGCCAAGCTCTAGCTAAAGCACCTAGCAAGGATGCCAGCCACCCATGGGTGTACCCTACAGAAGCTTTTGAGCGTGTTCATGTGGATTTTGCAGAATTCAACAACCAGCAGTATCTCGTCATCGTGGATGCATACTCTAAGTGGATCGACGCATACAAGCTTGGATCCACTGCCACTACTCAGCAGACGATTGACAGTTTGGTAACATTTATCGCAACGTTTGGTATACCCAAGACCCTCGTGAGTGACAATGGTCCTCAATTTACATCACACCAGTTCCAGCGTTTCTGCCGTGAGAGTGGTATTGTTCACAAGTGTACACCGCCGTACCACCCAGCTAGTAACGGACAAGTCGAACGCATTGTCCAGGAGTTGAAGCGTGCTCTGAAGTCCCGTCCTTCGGATGTGTCTGAGAAGACCCAGATGCACCGTTTCTTGTTTATGTATCGTAACACGCCCCATTCATCAACGAATGTGTCCCCAGCTAGTCTGCTCTTCAGGAAATTACCGAGCACCAAGTTGGCACGCTTAAAGCCCAACTTTGCAGCTGCACAGCGTGAACGTCAAGCACGGCCACAGCCAGGTCAAGGTCGTCATTTCGTGGTGGAGGACACTGTACTTGTATTGAACACTCGCAACGGCAGCGGGCCTAAGTGGCTACCTGGCGTTATTGTACAGAAGCTAGGTCCGGTCTCGTACATTGTTCGCATTGGTCAGCAGGAAAGACATGTCCATGTAGATCATCTCCGTCATCGTTCTACAGCGCCACCTGATGCTGTTCTTCCTCGCAGTGATGTTGACACACCGGTTTTGATTCAACCCGATAGTGCATTGCAGCCGTCAGTACCAGACGCTGCCAACGAGTCCGAACCGTCTGCACTTCCCAGTCCGTCTGCAGACCCTGTTGCACCGCGCCGATCAGCCCGTGCACCGAAGTCACCATCTAGGCTTATTAATGAGATGTGACTGCTTTACTGCTACCTTTACGCTATGGCTGTTATTTGAATATTGATCATAATTATCTCCGCTTTACTATTGCTTTTCTTAAGGGGGAGGATTGTTATGTTTGTATGTGCGCGTAAGCACGCTAGGCTCTGCGCATGTTTGCTTGCACGCTATGCTCTGCGCATGCGCACTCCAGTTCAGACTTTCTGTGTCTGAGTTTGTTCTTCTTTCTATCTTGTTACTTTGCACGTCCATTATTCTCTTTGTAAATAATCCTAATACATTCCACAACTGTGTGTTCTTGTGAGTGGGAATGTAACAAACACAATTGTATGAATGTATCGCGTCGAAGGAATCCCCAACTACTAACTTTACCATATCCTGGAAGAGCATGCCAGCCCATACATTGCAGCAGACACTGTGTCATGGATAGAGCATGCTACCCCATACATAGCAGCAGACACTGTGTCGTGGATAGAGCATGCTACCCCATACATAGCAGCAGACACTGCGTCATGGATACACCGTAGGTCTGTGAAAATAAATCTTGGCTCAACACATTCACTTTATTACGACTGCTGTCAAGCTCTCACGGTTAGATGTTAGCACCCCCCCCCCCCCCCCCCCACACACACACACAAACACCCTCTGCAAAGCCTTCAAGCCACAAGGAGCAGTATTCCCTGGAGTGCAACGTTTCCAAGGAACCACTATGCACTCACCTTGACTCCATTGCTGGATATTTTCGTGACACCACTCAGACTGTGGCTTCTTGCTACTGTTATGGCAACGTCTGTGCGCCTACTGCTTGCTGCATGAAAGCATTACAAGACACATTAACACGGTGATAGCACAGGTTCATCATCAGAAGTGGGTATAAACCTTCCCTGCATTGCTAGTACTACATTCACTGCTGTGGTCTTTGTAGAACCCATGGCCTAGGCTGTAGGATGCTAAAGAAGTACTCGGAAAGTCATGATCGACATTGCGCTAATTCCGCAGAGTGGACCTCAATACGCGTGTCCACACACGGCCATTAACTACCCACAGTGGAAGAGTAATGACTATGTGCTGCACTATTCTTAGGTTCCTGAGGTTGCCATGGTCACAGAGCCTACCCTGTACATTTCCAGTGTTCTCTCACTCACGCTCACAGGGTATCTTACTCAGTGTCAATCCATCGTCAATGTCAATGTCTGCACAATACCAATTTCTTCCCAATCCCCCTGTCACACCCTGCTATTGTGAGTGCTGAGGAATCTGGCATTGGTAAGCACAACACTATGATGTGAGTCATGCATGACTGGAACCAGTTGTATAGCTATGTACTCCTGCTCCCCAATGACGTGCACAATGGTTAAAATACCTGAACTTGCCGATCGCTGCGGTGGCTTGCGAGTGCTACGGCGCACACTGCCGATTCTGCAGCACACAGCAGATCCGGCAGTACAGGAAGCACACAATGGATCGTTCAGCATGCGTCAGCAGCAAGGTCTAGGAGCGGGTCTGTATGGTTCAAGAAACATTGGGCTGGAAACAAGGCCGTCCGTGCAGTGAACTAGTAGTTAAGAGTTTAAACAATACGGTGCAATGACCCAGTAACAATGCTCGTGGCCCACGGGTGACAGCATATCCGAATTTACTGCCAAATCACACTGCTTGAACAGATCAGAAATTGATACACGTGCTTGTGCATAACAGCACTGGAGCTAACAGTTTTAATACTTGCTGAAGGTCATGACCAAAGTCAGATCCTCACCTGTTGATAGATTTGTTGGGGCGTATATCGAAATCTTCCATTCTCTTGATCTGATACTGTGTTCTTCCACTGTCAGGGGACAAGCCACAGTCAACACAGTCGCAACAAATAGAAATTATACAAAGAACTTAATCACTTGCTGTAGGCCTGCATAGCGGCGGCCTTCAGCATCTCAATACCGGCAAACCGAATACAGCAGTTACTGTAGCATGGAGTTAAACCAGGTCATGGTGTAAAGTAAGGTTAGGTTCTGTGTGTGGCAACTGAGAAGAGCAATGCCGACACAGACATTGAAAACGTCCAGAAAATGTCCGCCGGAGATACGCTATCTGGAGGAGTTGAATAAGTAACTTTCAAATAGTGAATGCATACATGTAGTACTGGGGTACTGGTATGACAAAATAGTGTGCACCGAGCCTCCACAGCCATCTGCTTGCACAAACAACAACGTCTGTACAGGACGGATCTGCTCCACCTGAGTGTGAACGCCACTAGTAATTTCAAATACAAAATGTCATCAGCGAGCCAGCGTATAAAATACTCATATACATGTATATAGCATTGGAATGCTTACTAAATCTGTACCTATGGCATCGTATAGTATCACGGTACTCAGTCGCACTGAAATGACCTATCACTTACCTATAGCGAAATGTAGAACCTCTGAGCATACTGGACAGGAACTTTGGCTTAGGAGAGGGCAACTCCATGCTATGTGCACACCATACAGCACAACACAGGAAAAAACAAGCCATGCAATAACACGTTTTCGTCAGTGAAATCCGTGCAAAGAAAACACATGCACTACATTCTGTCCACGTTCTTATCATACTAGGGACTGCTGGTGTTATAATTGTTTTACTGTAAAAGCCATTATTCTACCGAGCCGCATATAATTATAACGATTTCCTAAAATTTACCGGTTTATGTGTACCAAAGGTAACGATTCGCACTCATTCTCCGAGTCAACGCTCACTAGCAACACTATATGTATCGATTTCTGTGTAACGTTTTCTATTTTAATGACAGAGTTCTCCACGTTAACTCATTAGATTTAGCACTTTGTTATATAGGGGGCTTTTACAGTATTCCCGAAGCTATGAAAAAGACGTTACTTAGGAGAAAGTTTTATTCTTTTGCCTTCTCCTTGTGACGTTGTCATGTCTCAGACAATTACTTCTGACCACTGTAGCCCGGAGCCAGCGTCTGTCACCAGCGCCTGTCGCCACCAGCAAGGTGGCATATGCCAGTCCTGGTGGTGTTTTACCTGTAAGGCCAAACTAAAGAAGGTGTGTGGTTCGACTCACCCGACCGACCGTACAATTTCAGCCCGACCGTAACTTTTTTTCGGCGGGCTGTCGTGTGACTGACGTACGTGGACTGAACACGTCCACGTCTACGTGCTGTGCGGCGTGAGTCTGCGGACGCAGGCGGCTCCTTTTGGACTTGGCTTGTAGTTGTACTGCAGTGCAGTGCAGTGAGTGGTACGACTGCTGCCTTGTGCTGGTAGTAGAGTCTACTCGATACGCGTATACCATGGTATACAGTGTATTTACATGTACTAAAAAATATATTAAAAAAAAAAAAATCCGCCCGCCCGCCCGTAAAAAAAATGTCCATGTTAGTCGAACCACACACCTTCTTTAGTTTGGCCTAAGGAGATCTTTTGATTTGTCTATGGACCTTGCTATATTGAGACAACTCAGGTCACATGAGTGCCCCTTTAGGAGAGGAAGTCCAGCTATGGAGTTAGTTGCTGGTGAACTGTCGAACTCCGACCTAGCCAAGTTTGGTGGCATCACCAAAAAGGTGTTCAAGATCGAGATTTGTTGCTGCTTGCACTCTTCAACCTTGGTGGGGTGGCGTGTGCATTTTGGAACATGGTAGTAGCGAATGGTCAGGCAGGGGACTAGATGAATTTGCAGTGTTGTGTTGATGCTCATACGGTATAAGTTTATACGTCACATCGACGTCATGTCCAATCCATGGAAACACATCCTCTCATGTTAGATGTATGGGGTGAAGGACAAGCTAAAATTTAAGCTGTATAAATTGACGTGTAAAAGGTATCTTTCGGTGACTAAGAGAGTCCAGCCGGAATTACACAAATAGTGCGATGCTTTGCGTATGCCTCAGACTATGAGATGTGTCAATAGGGTCACAAGGACATGGGTGGATGGTCTACTGGTTGTGTTGAGGCGATCGGCGGACCATACAGACGCCGTCTGGCAGAGATTGTATGCAAAGACGTGGAGGAAGTCTCCTCCTATGGATTTTCAACTGGCAATCATCCCCCAACGCAAGGATAAGCAAAAACAGCTTATCTTTATCCAGTAGACCTTGGTCGGAGGCAAAGAGAAACATTGCCAACGTCTGATCAAACTCTTCAGCCATGCCTAACTTGTACAGATAACGTTTGCAAAATTCAGACGGGCCCACGCAAAAGCAGGGAGCAGATGAAGTAGAGATATGTTGTGATATGTTGTAGTCAAGTTGTGTTTGACTACTTTCTCCTTTTTGGGTGTTGGAAGATGAAGCTTCCAAGCGTTGCATGCTTCTGTTCCGATTGAAGTCACGATTGATCTAGAACACGGGGTCATGTACTCTTGGCACTGCGAGAGTGAACCTGACACGTACTGGAATGCGTACTACGAAAAAGTTGACACGTTGCGGGCAACCTCACGGTTTACGAATATTATAGAAGAAAACACATGGGAACGAGTTACGAAGCAACTATCCACGACTGTAACAAGATAATAAGCAGTCAGAAAGTGCGATCACAGGGCACAAAACTGACAGGCTACTGAGACATTCAACGACCTTAGACCTACTTCCTCCGTTAACAAAAACTTCGTGATGGAATTTTGAGGGGCTGATTTGGGCACAAACAGCCGTGAAATGAGTCGCAATCACTTTCTTGGCCTTCCCTGGCATGCCATGACAGAGGCACGATGCAAGGAAAGCTACCTTTCACAACAAGCCAAGCGGAATCGATGGTTGCGCTGTGGAAACATAGGTGATGACAGTCATGGCGAGCGAAACTGAAATACCACTTCTCCGAGGGGATATTGCGCTGCTTGGCCTCTCTACCACTTTAGCACTGAGTACGTTGGAGAGTGATAGAGAGCGATAAAACGGAGCAGCGAGCCCACACAATGAGCGAGTGAACGAGGAGCTGCTCCGATCGCACGGCTCAATGAAAATAATTCTGAACTCAAGTTCTTGTTCAACCTGCGCAAAGCCCAGATTCGAATGCTGACGACCATGCACTCTTTCAGAAGTCTGCAGTCCGATGCGAGTCTCGTGGCTAAAGAAAGTCGACTGGACTTGCTAGCCGCTGCCGTTCAGTGCCGGTATCCATTAGAGAAAATGGAATCAGTTTGGCTGTGCCTTTGCTCCTCGCTTCGCGGAGTTCTGGAGAGCGAAGGTGAAACCAGGGAGTCGTAAAATATTTTTCACGACTCCCTGGTGGAAACGAGTAATCGCCATCGCGGCGGATCACGCAGCTTGAAAGCAAGCTTACTTGAACGACGGCGACATCAAGCGGAGTGTGATCAAAGAAGCCGAGGCAAGGCTGAAACGAGCTGAACAACGACTCGAGAGAGATGACGACTCGCGTACAGCAGATGACGACTCGCGTGGAGCAGATGACGACAGTGGCGCAGGTCAAACATGAATCAAGCGAAAGCGACGCTAACTGAACTCTCTGCTCATTCCGCCAACAGTTTCTCTCGTAAAGAGGCTGTACATAGGCGGAATCACCTTCGGCCAGTGATTTGCAGTCGATACAAACTGTTCTTGACCTATTCTAAGCGTTTTCATATCCATCAAAATCCATCACGAAGTTTTTGTTAACGGAGGAAGTAGCTCTAACACATCTCCAGTGTGTGCCCTCTTTGGTCCTACCTAACCTTGAACCTTCCAAGTTGGAAGGCTGTTGGTTTGCACACTGGAGATGTGTTAGAGCTAGGTCTTAGGTCGTTAAATGTCTCAGCAGCCTGTCAGTTTTGCGCCCTGTGATCGCACGTTCTGACTGCTTATTATCTTGTTACAGTCATGGATAGTTGCTTCATAACTAGTTCCCATGTTTTTTCTTCGTCCGCGGTTATTTTACATTTAACCCTTTAAGAGCCGCCCCATACTTGAATGCGTCGTTTACGACGCATTCAAATGCAAAACTTCAAAAGATCGTAACTCAGTCCAATCTCGCTCAAATCCAGTGATCGAAATATCTAGGGCGAAGAGAAAACTCTCACCTGTCGGGAGAAACAATCCGCGAAGCGCTGCGAGCAACGGTTCCTGAGATAAATCACTCGTAAGTTGAGCCGCGATCGCGGCAATTTCAAAAGCGCGCAGTGCGACTTTAGTATTGAGAATTTTGAGACTTTTCGTCACGCTGATTTACTCGAATTTGCACGGGTTTCACTATTGATATTGTCAAGAGTACACAGCGAAAAAATTGGAACTCCACGATCGAGCAAAATGAAATATCTGGAGCGGGACGCAATTGGACGCAATTGGGGCATTTTTCGTACTGTCGCTGCGATCTAGCGCTGGATAGACGGTGTGCTGGCTATCATGATCGACCTCATTCTCTTCCTCTCGCGGAGACCTTTCCAGGAAGCCCTAGATTGTGAGGATTGAGTGAGTAGAACTGAAGCTATGATCCAAGGAACACGAAAAAATGCAGAATTTTGAAATTTTCCTGTGGCTCTTAAAGGGTTAATACTGGCTCATTATCCGAGTTGAATTTTACGAATATTCGTTAACTTTTTTCGTTAATTTTTTTGTTACGGTGCTACGAATCAGGATTACATTCAAATCCACAGTAGTTTCTCAGCTAACCAAACACAGCGTACCGGTACATACCTGAAGAAATCATGGTGCTCTAGAAAGGATTTCCACGCCTCTTTTGCCGCTCTCTTGGTTGGGAAGTGTAACTGTGTCACCGTTGGTCCATCCTTAGCAATCAATAGGAAGGTTGAAGTGCAGAGAACAAACAGTGAGTGTTGACAGCTACAGTGAAGCCTCGTTAAGAAGAACACCGACAAGACAAACTTTCGCTTTAGAACTTGTGTTCATAACTCCATTGGATAAGTCGCTGTGTATTCACTGGATATAAACTATGGATAAGGAGAACTCCCGGTACTGCGAACAAAATTAATACCATTGATCCCGTGGTGTTGGTTTCAGAGAGGTTTGACTGTAGTAGCACTCATGGTTGATTGAAAATGGTGAAAAACTTGTCCTTAGTAGAGCTGGATTTTGTACCATGCTGTTGCCAGAATGAGCACACAAACAGTGGGTTGTTGTGTCATCACGGTTGCCAGAATGAGGAGCACAGAATGAACACGGACTTACTCCTTCTCTTTGAAACTTGCACGTAACCTTCTTGCGCCGGTGTGAGATCTTTACCACTGTTCGCCTGTGGGGATCAGATAGGATATGGGAACATGTCAGCACTCTCTTGGCTTCATCAGGCCCAGAGAAAAGATTTTGCTTGGACATGCTACTAGGATACGTACATACATGCAAATGCACGTGCATACAGGCGTACACAGATGCACATACGCACACACATACACACACACACACACACGTATCCTTCTCCCCTGTATAGCTATACATGTGCGTATTGTGAGGAAGAGACCATTGTGATAATGCCTGCTGTTATCAAGGCACCGTGCAAAGGGTGAAGATTGGTTCCCGTCATGCTGTGGTCACTTGTTGCTGCATATCAGCGTCTGCACAGTACCATAATACTACGGTATGGAGTGAATGGTGATGTTGAGACACTGATATAGAACACCACACTAATCAACCATGATCTGCTACAGAGCTCTGGCAGAGTTGCTGAAAGAGAGTACGTTACATTTATAGAGACAGGTAAGTCTAACAAATGAGGACTGAGACCTCTACAACAGGGTTTTTACGCCTGAAAGCAGGTGCATGATATAACAAGCAGGTTGTCAGTCAAGATTTTATGCGCAGATGGAGAAAAATGCGCAGATCTTTTCGTAATGAGATGAAAAGCAGAAATAATAAGAAAAGATGAAATGAAAGCCTGCTCACAACCCCGCTCAGCCTTGCCATGGCCAGCAATGCAATCGAGGACATCTGAAAGTTGTAATATTTGTACTCCTCCGAGGTGTGATTTTTGGCGTGCTGGGCCAAGCACAAGGAAGCCATCTGCCAAAAAAATGAAGAAAATGGTTGTTGTTTGATCCTTTGGTGTAATCTTTGTAGCTAGTCGAAGGAAGTTGCTGTTTGGAGCAGATCCGCTGAAATTGACTATTTTCTGCATGTACTCATGCATGTACTCATGTACTCAGGCATGCTGTCTCACTCGTATTTTAGCTCTTTTTTCTGGAATGGATGCTGCTCTGCGCCCCTTGGTGAACATTTCCTGCGCTTGTGGAGCAGCTGAAAAGGACCACTGGTATGTCTGGTTCCTGGTTTGAAAGTGGAGAGTCGACTTTCGTGCCTTGAAAAAGGAGTAGAGAGTGATAAAGGTACGTCTGTAGCTTATTTAGAGTGCTCCTCGTACATTTTTGATCGTGATAGAAATTCTCAGACCAAAGTCAGCGCGAAGATGGCCGTACAGTTTTCTTGTGGATTTTTTAGTTGTTTCGTCTCGTATCTATGTCAGTATCGTGATGGTGAAGTGGAGAGGGTGATTTTCTTCCTCTGGGCTTCGTTCGGCCGACTTTGCTTCGTCCTCGTTGAAAAGTGATGCTGAAAAAAGGTCGATTAGCATAATTATGTTGATTTTGAACGTACATGATGACATGCGATTGCTGGCTATGAAACTGGAAAAAGAGAGAGAGAGAGAGAGAGGGGGGGGGCAAGAGCAAGGCGTACACCAACTCACACACTGGGACTGAAGTCTGCGATGGCTACCTACCATGAATGGAGTGGAAGACTGGAATCAGCTTGATGTACCAACAGGCCTGCATAGGATATTTCCGCACGTAATGACTGTCCTCTGCCATCCTGAAGTAAGCACGCCAACGTACATTCCAGGAGTGAGCAACACACGGGGACACATGAACTAAACTTAAAGGGGAACTGTCACCAAAAAAATTCTTTGTCTTATCTTGTAGTTCTTTGGCTCCTGATCACGATGGTGTTATCCGTTTTTCTCTGCGATGGCTGGAAGTGGGTGAAAACTTGAAAAGAAGGTGCCCAAAATTGTCCCGAAGTACCGAGTGACGTCATGCCGGACTTGACCTCCATGCGTACATTCGTCGTCAAAAACGAAGTCCAGCCCGTGTGCTGGTCGATCGAGCTAGCTGTTCCAATGTACGGTGCACGTGTGCCTTTTGAACTGTAACACAGATGGGTACGTCGTACCGAAGGAGAATGCCAAAGAGGCAGAGACCCACGTGCAGCTACACAGCCAAATCAAAATATAAAGCAGCTGATCTTTCACCTTTTTGGCTTCTTCCACGAGGATCTAAGTTTTATTTTGTGAGCACGGAAGTACGTCGTTGTTTTGAACTTTTCGTGTGAGGAACAACACGATGATGAGTGCGTATGCAGAAAACAGTACTCCTCCGGCCGGCGATAACACCACCAACCCGAGCCCCAAAGGAACGCAATGTAGGTACGTGAAGGCGATTCATCTGGCGATGTTGCTGAAGATGCAGATGACAAACTCCGACGTCTTTCATTTCAGAGCCGGGTGGGCAACACCGCCACCTTCGGCTTCGATACAACGACATCATTTTCAAGCACGAGGTATGTGTGTCACACTAACAGCAAACAAACATCCTTCCACTCTTTCGTAATCACAAATAAAACAAAGAGCTGGAGCTTCGTGGAGGAAGTACCAGTGCGACAAACTGTTGTCGACTTTTGTTTATTTTGTCCCTTTTTGGCGTTCTCATTGTGTACAACGTACACATCGAGTGTCCGAGTTCAGAAGGCAAGCGTGCACCGTACATCAGGTACATCGAACATGTTGGCTCGATCGACCAGCACACGGGCTGGACTTTGTTTTGACGATGAATGTACGCGTGGAGGTCAAGTCCGGCGTGACGTCACTCGGTACTTCGGGACAATTTGGGGGACCTTCTTTTCAAGTTTTCACCCACTTCCAGTCATTGCAGAGAAAAACGAATAACACCATCGTGATCAGGAGCCAAAGAACTACAAGATAAGACAAAGAAATGTTTTGGTGACAGTTCCCCTTTAACAGCTACAGTTCAGCAACTAGGCTGGTGATTTTGTCGTTGCTCATGTCAGTTTTTGAAGATTACTACATGCCAGGCCAGTACACGGTCTGACTCTGCATGATCAGGTTAAACTGCCAGATTGAAAACTAATCACTTGCAAGTATGCACATCTTACATTGCTTCCTCAACAGTCTTTGACATTCAGTGTACAATCAGATCTATTATAGGCCAGATTCGACTATGTTGGTGTCTAGCACTTGTCAGCGTATAACAAGTTTAAACTGCTCCGACAAAGATTACTCATTGTTCAATTTCCAATATCTTATCATTGACTACTGCAACAGGTGGGGAAACTTAGTCAAGAGCTGGGGGAGGAGGCATTACGAACTACAGAGCCAGACACCTTAGTCATTGTGTCATACCAGGATACCTGTGTACAGAATGCCTCAGACAAGTACATGGGTTTAGCCTTACGCTGCTGCTGCTTGGAGTAACGCCAGTGACCTGCAATGGCAGTATGCTTAGTGCTCTCTCTCTCTCTCTCCCCCCCCCCCCCCCCCCCCCCCCCCTCCCGGTACTCACTGTGCATACGAATGACCGCACACCGTATCCTTTGAGACCTTCGATGATGTTCAAGAGACGGAGCTCAGCTTCGAATGGCAATAACCCACTGCAGAGCAAACACACACACAACAGTAGGAGCGTTGACAGCACCATTGTTGACACAGGTGGGGAAAATACTAAACAAGAGAACAAGCGAAAAACCAAGTGAATAATATGGCAGCTTTAAAAATAAAATGGGAAAGGGGCACGCGCTAAACTGCACTAAAAATTGTAAAACTGGTACATGTAATTCACAACCGGATAGTTATCACCGACCTAAGCTCTGCGCTTCGTCATTGAAGACAGCTGGTTTGCCACAGATCCAACGGAGACTAGCCATGTTGGAGTAATCGAGCCGGCGAACGATAGCCTGCATCGACGCCAAGCCATGGTGACAGAGTACATTTCCTTTTTCTTCTTCTTCTTCTCTACTCAACATGGAGCCAAGCCTTTTACATGTAAATAGGTACCCGCAGTTTTTGCCCTGGCGCGCCATGGCCCAACACCAATGATGG